TGATCCAGCGCCCAACGGTGTTAATGTCTAACTTCAGCCAACTGATAGGTCCTGGGTTCGACTCTCGCGAGGGGTGGGATGGTGGATGTGCACTGCTGAGGAGTCCCACAATAGGACGAAACGGGCGTCCAGTGATTCCGTGTTTTCCACTGTGGTCTAGCTTCAATTGACTCATGATTTCAACTATTGAAATTAACTGTATTATCAAAAAATATCAACTGTAAACAACCAATGAGAATAATTTATATTCTAACTAAAAGTATATTTATCTTGCAAATGATAATAATGATGATATTAATAACTGCTCTATTCACTGCCGTTAGTTTAGCACATGGAAGATAGAAAACATAACGTTGGATTGACAGATAATTCCTATTTAAACATGAAAAAACACGAAGTTCAGAGAAGGAATCTCTTTTCAACGAACTTATTATCTACCACTTCACCTCCTCTTGCGGAACAAGGTACTTGGCCGTTTTATTTCATTCTATTCTGGAATCTTTATTTGAACCTAAATGTCATATCTTAATATTGATGTTCACATTTGTAATCGAACCAAGTTCCTTTCGCTGGTACTAACATCATATTTATAGCATTATTAGGGATGATTTGAATCATCCCATTGTTATTATTCAAGACCGAATTTCAATCAGTCATTGTTAGCGTACATGCATCCTATATAAATTGCCTTCATAGTTAAAAAGATCAATGGCTACTTGGACTCGGTAACTCGGTTGATAACGAGTTGCGATTTGAAACTGAGGTTATATTTAAACAGTGTTTCATTCATAGAATCTGTTATGACTTATGCTTTTGCCAATTATAACGTGACAAAATCGCCGATCAGAATATCAACTTGTATCCGTGTCGCCGTGTCAAATCAGTGTTGCGCCAATTAGCACGGGTATCCTTGAGTCAACTCTAAGTCGTTAATGATCCTCTGTATTGTAACTTCTCGCCTAGCCCACCCCAGCCCAACACGTTCAGTCCAGAACACAAACATCATCCTCATCTGTATGAATCGTATATTGCAGACATATGTATTTTATTTACAAGCTGACCAGACCTCATCAAACGATGAAATAAAAATTGACAATTACACAAGATCATTCCGAAAGTATCTGTGAGTGCATGAGACTGTGACTAATAGACTGGGAATAAGTTAAGAATGGTAGATTGCATAACAGTAGCCAATAAGTCAAATGAAACTTATGATCAAGAGAATATATATATATAGTCAAGCTACTCACGAATTGTCCAATATGAATATATGTAACATTAGTCCATAAAAAACTATCATTCAGCACTCATTTATCATTCGCTCGGATATAACAATAATGATGATAATAATATTTCTATTCAGCATGATAGATCTTCAACATTAAGTAATGCTCAGAATCAGTTGTGTAATTTTGTGACCAATTTCCATCTGATGATAAGAATGTGAAATTTAGACCCATAGCAATAACTTCACATTTTCGCTAAACAATGGAAAAATTATTGATAATCCCACTTCAACCTACAATAAAACAATACACTGATCCGTATAAGTTTACTTACAAATGCAAAAGAGGCACCTTGGATGCTGCTGTTGTTTAGCATCATAATATAATGTTCAGTTTGGGAAAGGGTGAAAACTATGTTCGTTGAACTTCTCTGGACTATACTTATGCCTTTTATTTCATCCCAAGACAACTTCTGCTTAACAAATTAACCAGCACCAACACTGACAGCTGAATAATCAATTGGCTTTTTTTCTTCTCTGGAAGTGGACCGAAGACAATTAGCAAGGTATGTGGTGAATCTTTTGAAGTTATTATTAATATGATTGTAGATAAACTTCTAAAGTCTTGCAAACTCCTGTCAGGTGTTATCCTATCAGATACTAACCATCCACTTCATTCATATCTTTCTCCTTGTTTATCTTCAGGTTGAACGAGACGTTAATACACTAGGATCCATGCACGCAAACAAAAGAATAAAAGTTCTATAATACCTTATCTAGTAAATACATCATGTGATGAACAGGTTGTTAAAGTTGATCTGGTCAGTAACTTGTATTCCTTAACATGTTTCTAACTGAAAAAGTTGTACAGATTCAGATCCTTTTAATTCCGGGTGGCTTATTTATTGAATTTATGCATATATGTATTCAGTTATCAGTTTCTTTCAATGTTTTTTTCTGTTTGTAAAAAAGCTTGGTGAAATATCTCGTGTTGAGAATCCGATATTGTACCAAAAATATAATATTGAATACAGCCTATACAAATAATAATAATAATAGTAATAATAATAATAATAATAATAATAATAATAATAATAATAATAATAATATGCATCCAAATTGTAATTATTGCAGAAGAACACATTTTAGAAAAGCTTTTAACAGTTGGTTTCACACACCCATCTACAATAATGAGAGTTTTCTATGAATTAGCCGTTACAATTACTATTTGCATTCATCATAAATGAGTTGAATAAATTCCATTGTATATATATATATATATATATATATATATATATATATATATATATATATATATATATATATATATATATATATATATATATATATAAGGATATATACAAGGAGAAACATATACAGACAACTACAGTGCTTCCATTTGTTTCCTGGTAGTTAGTATCGAAGTAAGCCCCCTGTGACAGCATATAAGTACTTTTAGGTGTTTGAACAAATTTAAAATTTCATGTATCTGTAGTAATGAAATACTCTTGTATACTACTTAGAACGTCGAAAATGATGATGAGGAAGTACTTTTTGCCACCTTAGGGTAAAAATAATAGTCTTAAACTTATCAAATGCACGATTCTGTCTCTGAAGCTTGTATATAAACAGACAAATGGACACTAAACCCTTATTTCTGAAAAAAAACACTATCATGATGGCACTATAATTTATAAACGAACTAACCAGATGATGGCTATTGTACTTTTGCGGAAAATTCATTCATCCATACGGCTACAAGACACTTTTGAATTGCAGATGACGCCAGTTCGTGATACGAACTCTAACCACCTGCGCATAGCCTTAACCTTAAATACCTAATCTAACAAGGAATAATGAAGTAACTATTAAGGATCTACTTAGATCCCTATCAAGGTTCGAGAAGACAGCCGATATACACTTATGAGGACAAGTTTATTCATTGTTATTTTCTAAGTTTACAAGTAGAGTAACCGATAGAAGACTTTATAGATTTCCTAAATATGTAAGAGCTGTTTACATTTAATATTATTGTTTTCTTTTTCATAAGGTATTTACACAAGTTGTTTTCTGATTGCCTGGTGGCTTGCTGAAAAATTTTCGCGGTTGTTTTAACCACTTCCCTATACTATATATATTCTTGCCATGAACTACGAAGTTTGAAAAACCTGAATAACACCCCTATAATGATTAATCACTCTCTTTCTAGTGACTAAATTTGTGAGGTGATTCCGGAATTCTAGTGAGAGATTGTAACCAGTGGATTTCAACCATGTCGGATGTAATGGAGTTTCCAACCAAGTATGTTGGAAGATGCTAACACCGTATTATGAATTGACTGGAGTTAAACAGATGAAACATCAGATTCTGACTCACTGGTGATGGCTTCTGTGGATTCTCATACTATCCAGTGTGTTATATCCTAGCTAAGATTAAATAATGGATAACTTCTTAAAACTGTTTATGGACTAATATCGTACATATATTCTTATTGTATAACTGTTAAGAAACTAAACTGTATATATTTATATTCCTCTTATTATAAGCTTTTATATATCTCAGAATGGGTTTTGTGGAGAATTTTTAGAATTTTCACAGTTTTTGAAATCATGAGTCAGTTGAAGCTAGACCACCATTGAAAACCTGGAAGCACTGGACGGCCGTTTCTTCCTGGTATGGGACTCCTCAGCAGTGTGCATCCACGATCCCGCACCACGCGGAGCTCGAACCCAGGACCTACTGGCTTCGCGCGCGAGCACTTAACCACTAGACCACTGAGCCGGCATCCAACGGTGTTAATGTCTAACTTCAACCAATCCACGAAGTTGCGCCACCGTACACCATTGTCTTCAGTGAGTTGTTATCTCACAACAGACCGGTTGAACTCCACTGGTAACGGCTTCTCACTAGAACTTCAGGAGTTTTTCCTGAAGTCAGTCACTAGTGAGCAGTTGATTATTATTATCAGAATGGGTTTTGTGGAGAATTTTTAGAATTTTCACAGTTTTTGAAATCATGAGTCAGTTGAAGCTAGACCACCATTGAAAACCTGGAAGCACTGGACGACCGTTTCGTCCTAGTATGGGACTCCTCAGCAGTGCGCATCCACGATCCCGCACCACGCGTTCAATTCGCAAGACTTATTATTTTGAATATCAATGAAATAGTTGTCAAACGTGTAGAATATGCCAGCAAAATAGAAAAATTGAAATTTCCACATTCTAGTTAATATTTACTTTGGTGTGCAATCAAATAAAAATCCTGTTTCAAGGTCATCAAACAAGATGGCCGGTTTCAATCACACAAATACACTTTTTTTTGCCCAATCTATTTAGATAGATGACTTGGTTAGTTTAACACAAATTATAAACAAACTCCGATGATTATCAATAAACAGACACATTATTTGGTATGAATGTCATTTTCCAATATGCATATATATATGTATGAACCCATTTCGGATACCATGTTTTACGTAGACATACAAATTCTACGTGTATTTATAGTTCAAAAACCTACATGGTCGGTTTCACACATTCAAAAAGATTTTATGATACGTATATAAAGATGATCGTTGAAGCGTAATTGTGCATACATATTTCACACATATACACATACACATACTTACATTAGATAATATGTTGAAGAGTATTGACCATTTATAAATTATTTTGGGGTTAATCTATGTAGACATATACCAGCTAACACACGTGGGCACATAAAAATAGGGTCTATTTTTATTTAATATTCACATATTCATGTAAATATCCCTGACAAACAATCAACAAAATCCCGAATATGTATATATAGATGCGTATGTTTAAGGCAAGTTATTCGAAGATAAAATCTATGCCATTCATATAATCAGTTAAAACTAGTTTCATATAGAGTTCAACAAAGATCCAAACTTTCACTTGTATATATATATATATATATATGTTGTGAAAAAAGATATTTTTTTAAAACAAACATTAAACAAACAAAAGGGATTTAATTATTGAATTATTTCTATAAATGAAAACACTTAGAAACAAAAAATAATAATTAATTTGAATAAAATGTCATCTCCATTAAACAAATACTGTTACGTATTATTATTATTACTATTACCATTACCATTACATCATACTTAAATAATAAATACCATGGTATATATTCAATGTTTTATACAAACAATAAATTTAAAATATTTTATTTATATTTATTTATTATTTTATATTCAATGTGAAAATACTACTGAATTAAAACATAATGAATCTGATAATGATTTCACAGAAACCGCATCAAAAAATCTTCAATTAATTCGAATGAAAAAAGGAATAGAAAATTCCAATGATAATCATATTAACATTGAACAGATTAAACAACATAATATTGAAACTTTAAAAAGTCATTTTAATCGTTTAAACAAAGCAAATTATAATGATCATGATCATGATGATGGTAATAATAATAATAAAGTCAATAATCATGATGAATTAGATCTATTGAAATCTTTATCAAATTACAATGATAAATCAAATGAACAAAGTACAACGTTTACATTTATTGAAATGATTGTACAACGTACAGTGAATAAATATATGAATGTAATACGTACAAGATCTGATTGGTTAAAAAGATTATTACAATTAGTTAAAGAAGAACGAGATATACGTTCAAGATATAATTGTTTTACAGATGCATGCATTTATAAAATTCAATTATTTACAACACAACTTAAAGCTCATCTTCTTAGAAATACAGTTCATTTAGAACCAATACAACATAAAGATCATAGAAATATGGATTTACATATGAAACGAATGAAAAGAACAATACCAGAATCATCAGTATTTTCAACATCATTTGGTATTAATGATTCAACTATTGAAATTTTAAATGATGGCTCAGAAATACAAGATTTATTATTTTTACATGATGATATTACAGAGGATGATGCTTTACGATTACCAGATGAAGTGAATAAATTAAATTTGATAAGACATCGTGAAAATGATGATTCTATGACAAATTGGACAAGTAATAATGATAGTAAACATAAATCAATAAAATTTGATAATCCTGATAAAATTGATGTGGCTAGATTTAGTCAAGAATTGACTGGAGATGTTTTATCTAAACATATAAAAAGTCAAACAGTAACAGCATCTATTTTCACTGACATCACAGAAGGCAATTCAATGAATATTGCTACAAATGTTAATGGTAATGATAATGATAATAATAATAATGATGATACTGATAATAGTAATAGTAATAATAATAATAATAATAATAAAGTCAGTAGTAGTGTGACACCATCGTTTATACCTATTCAACAGTTACATGTATCACTAGATAACCAATCAAATTTGTTAATAGACAGTGAACCAGATCTATATTCAGATAATTCAGTGGATAATGAGGATAATAATGTTATTGAAGTTAATCACAAAAGTCATGATGAAGAATTACCTATAAGTATGACTGAACAAGTTTCAAATCTTTTGGTAGATGAATTAAATGATCAGAAAAATACTTTGAATGATAATGAAAAAGAGAGAAAACAAGTAGAAGATGTAGTCAATAGTACAATATTCATAGAAGATGAAAATAATATTGGTGCATCATCCTTTTCTACACCATACACTGAGCAGCCAACAACAACATCATCATCACCAACTGAGACAATTGCATTCACGACCAATTCGCCTATTTCATTGGATAATCTATTATCTACACCGAATTCAATAGATTTTACAACTGATGAATTATTAGACCAGATGAATACAACATCATCATTATCACCATTAACCACATCGATAATAACAACAACAACAGAAACCGATAACGATCATTCAGAAATATATCAACATTCAATCAAACCATCATTAAATATTAGAGCTATTTCATTAACTGTTGAAGAAACACTGGCTATACCATTTGGTTTGAATAAATTCGATGGACGACCGTATGAGAACTGTACTGGACAATATGAAAATTATTGTTATAATGCAATAAAGTGTGTTTATATTAGTGTATTGGAAACAGCTGCTTGTTAGTAAGTTCAATAATAGTTTATTCATAAGAAATTATTCTTAAGGTCTATAACATACAGGATGTATAAATTTATATTAAATTTTATCATTTAAAGTTTGTATAGAATAGATAGATAGAAGCTAGCAGTGGAATCCAAGACGCGCGTTTCGTCTTAATTAAAACTCATAAGCTGGATGTGCCTGTAATACATGCACTTGCATTTTAATGGCTATTATAAAGCAGTTCGAACTGGATACCCATATCCTAATTAAAACTAATCGAATTTCAATCAGAATATCAACAAGTATTATAAAATTAAACCATTTGGAGTTGGTATTTGAATTTTAGAGCTGTTAATCTAGCCAACGTACTTGCTATTGTTACTGAACACTTGTGGATAATAATAATAATAATAATAAGTAACGACAGGCAAAATTTCAGCCACTATCGAAGTGTGTTGTTTATCAGTGATGTCACCAAATGATGATCATGAACCATCTCGAATGGACTGAAATTAGAAATATAAGCCGAAATCGGACAATAAGTCATTACTCTGAGTTTGATACTTTCACTGAGTCCTGAAGGTCTTGGGTTCGACTACTGATAAGGTAGTGGATGTACATTGTTAAGAAGTTTCAATTTGGGACAAATCTCGTGCTCGATGTTTGATATCTCCCGATCATCATCTAGTTAACGTCAACTCGTCAAGCGAACTAAAAATTGACTAGCCACCTTGAACATTAGTATCAGTTTGAATAGGGAATGATCGTCGGCTACTTCCATACACATTTGCCAGACTACTTAATAATTTTGAATGTTGTTTATATATACGACTAGGACACCTATTTCTAAATTGCCACTGCTGACGTTCGAAACATGCGTAGAAGTTCTGTACTATTAGAAGTGGACTGAACAGTCGATTTATTCCTTCACGGTTTCCTGTAATTTTTTAACGCCTTTCTGTTGGCAGCAACATTTTCCGTGAAAAGGGTCAATCTTTGATAATGATGAATTTTGTTCCGCAAATCGCACCTACTGATTTCGTCAATATCAGCGCTCATCAGTACGGTATACAAGGTTCTATGTTAATGTACAATGGGAAACCCCATCGCTAAAGTATCTGTTTTGATATGAATGGTTGAATAATTCTAAACTGTAAAATAAACACTAATTAGCGTTATGACAGCTGTGTTAATCAATAAAATTACTAGTATGCTTAATGCTGACAAACTGATAATCTTGACTCATGGAGTACAGTAGAACTTACACTGGCAATATTTATAATCATGCCAAGTTTAGAAGTCTTTTTAATTATCAAGCATATAACTGATGAGTGACTTTGTTAACCTCTCAAGGATGATGGACTTTAATAAGAACAGTGATGATTTTGTCATTCCAAGCAGTGACCTTAGTTGGTTCCATCTTCATAGTAATAAATCTAACGATCTGGACTGAATATCACAATATTTAAGTTAGATTATGTGACACATAATATCGGCTGATGTAGGAGTAAGTTAGAAGAAAGCTAGGAGTGGGCGAATCAAGACATGGCGTCTCTCTATGAAACCACCGACAGTTTGACTCATTCATGTTGGTAGGTGTAGACTACTTGGTTAAAGTTTGGGGGGTTACCATAACCAATGCTTAGTGGTGTGACAGTCGCATAGATGTATTCACTCTTTGTCTTCCTTTAAATCATGAGTTTCAAAATTAGCTAAACCTTTCCACTCTTTGTATTCTTATTTCTTTCTTGATTCATATTGTTTATGTCTGATACTTTTTATTACCACATATCTCACTGTACTGACATAGTGCGTTAGCTCCAACCGATGCATATATATGCCAAGTACTGCATTGCATATATATCTGACTGACTGATATGAGTAATCTGTTTTTCAGTTTATCAACCCCTTTCTGCTATCTTGGTTATGTCAACAAATTGATTTCCATATAGATGGTGACGAGTTTTATTACTGGTGAAAATGTATGTTTTTGCTCGTAACTTAGGATACATATTCTTTATTAACTCATCACATAAACGTATTTGATAAACATCGCACGAGAATTAATTACAAAAATTTGATGTATGACCCTTATAATTTTCTAGTATGTTCTAAGTTTTTGTTAATTTGTGTGAAATGTTTTCTCGACTATGTTTATAAGCAGTAGAAATTCATATGATTCCGATGATATGACCTTGAAAAGTTGATATTGTCAAGTGACCGACTTGACATTTGCTATCTGTCATGTAGGAAAGCATGCTTGTGTATGTGTGCATGCGTGGTAATCTATGAAAATTGGTATTTTATTAGAGTGAGGTTGATGTTTGCATCTTATGAAGTAGTATATTTACAAAGTTTGGTAATTTATGTAAAACAAATATTCCTTTTGGTGAATCATTAGGGATATGTTCATGACCTGCGAAAAAAATGATTTAAAAACATATAGATGTGCAGTGTCACATAGAATGTCATAGAAGAATTCTTGGATAGCTATTTATTAACAAAATTCGATGTATCAGTTCAGTGGTGATTATTCTGTATTCCCATAGACCGCCATCGGAAACTAAGAATCACTGAACAGCTGCTTCTCCCTAATATGGGGCTCCTCAGCAGTGCTCATCCATGAGGAATGTAATACTAGAGAGAAACAGCTGCTCAATGCTTCTTGGTTTCCGATGGCGGACGGGCGAAGCTCACTTTTTGATTTAAACTATGAAAAGACCATAGTATCCCCAAACTCCCTTATATTTCCTATTTACTTCGATGAATTTCGATCATCCAATAACTGTCTTAGAGTCTCATAAACTGTTCGTACATATGATGTCAATTAGTGGTGAAAACTAATCCGAACAGTATTCACAAACTCTTTATCTTATTAATGATAATGGTTCCACTAGTTTCGGAGGCTAGTGAGAATTCACAACTGATGGAATTCGGCTACGTTGAAAGTAAAACAGTTACCTACGAATGCTATTGAACGATAGCCGCAACATATAATGAAATGGGCTAATGATGGTAATGTGAAACTTTGGATTTCAGCTTACTGATATCATTCTCACTAAAATACCTGAATGTACGGGGTTCGATCTTTGGAATGGTCATGGATAAGTACTGCTGTGGAACATCATACTAGTATCAAACAGCTGTTCAATACAGCAAAAGTATGCTTTGTTGATGAACCAATCAGATTTAAGGTAGTGTCTGATAGATTTTTGTGCATAATTTACAAGTCGGTGACAGATAGTTTGTATATTATTAATTGTCAAGACGTTTAAAGTTAATAACATAGGAAGGCTAAAATATAGGAGCTATTATTTATAATTTTTTAAAGGTAATTTCAAGTTTACTGATATTTGAAATCAAAGAACTAACTAGATAAGTATTCATCCATATCACTACAAAACTTCACCCCTACTATTTTGCCAATACCCCTTATCTTAAACCGTAATCTTGATCTTAATTGAGGATTTTATGTAATAAGCTATTCGTTTATATCACCTTTATTCCGATTGTCTGCAACTTAGTTTTATTTTATCATCATTTCAATAGTCACCAGAGGTCGTCCGTGAAGTAAACCGATATCATCAATGCTTCTTAGTTTACAGTACTTCTCCGGTTGACACTAATCCGCAACGAAATAATGTTAAATGCAAATTAGGCTTCACAGGCCTTTCAAACTAAAAAAAATACGACTGTAAAATTATAAAATTCTACTAAATGAAACAATACTTTTCTTTTAAAAATTGGTTACGTAATCAAACCTTATTTGTAAAGACATTGATTGTGTGCAAGCTATAGAAGTTGCCATAAAACGATTTTTTCAAGTGTATACCTACCACAATGCTAATATAACAAAATGATGACGCAACTCCTCCATCGAATGCTAGTTTCTATATTTGGCTATGAATGGGAATTTCTGTATCTGATAACTAAGAATGTCACCAGGCTGCCTAAAGAGAATTAGTTGAGTGGGGAAAGCTCAATTCGCACCTGCAGTCTACTAATTAAAATCATGCTGTTTTGGCTAGATAAATCAGGATATATATATATACGTCTGTAACTCCCGATGGAGCATAGGCCGCCGACCAGTATTCTCCAACCCATTATGTCCCGAGCCTTCCTTTCTAGTTCTATCCAATTTTCGTTCATTCTTTTCATGTCTGTTTCCATTTTCTGGCGTAATTTGTTCTTTGGTCTTCCTCTCCTCCTTTGGCCTTGAGGATTCCATGTGAGGGCTTGCCTTGCGACGCAGTTGGATGCTTTTATCAACGTGTGTCCTATCCACTTCCAGCGCTTTTTCCTGGTTTCTTCCTCCGCTGCGATCTGGTTTGTTCTCTCTCATAGTAGGTTGTTAATGATAGTGTCTGGTCAATGGATTCGACGTATTTTGCGTAGACAACTGTTAATAAACACTTTTATCTTCTGGGTAACTGCGTTCGTAGTTCTCCAAGTTTCCGCTCCATACGGTATAACTGTCTTGACATTTGTATTGAAAATTCTGACTTTGGTGTGGGTTGAATATATATATTAAAAATGCTATATATATATCCTGATTTATCTAGCCAAAACAACATGATTTTAATTAGAAGCATTTTTAATCATAAAAGAATGTTCGTCTGGAATTCATGTGGTTTATTTTCGGCTTATTATTAATATTTTTGTTGGATGGTTGAACTTAATAAAGAAACCGTAAGGTAAAGAATTCATATATATATATATACTTACATGTAATTGGAGATGTGTGAATCAAGAGGAGAGATTTTTCTCATTTAAAGGATGTGGATTTTTTATTTGCGCTGGATCAATTACTACATAATCTGTAGATTTAGATAGAAATCCATATTTCATTTCATTACTATCCTTCATTTAGCTTGGTTCCCCATGTGGGACATAGGCTGTCAATCAAGGATCCCCTGCCAACTTTATTCCGGGCCCTCTTTTCCAGTTAACACCAAGCACGATCCATGGTCTTAATGTTTGCCTTGACATTCCATGGTTATGAGTTCGTTGGTCTGTCACCTTCCTTTTTGCAATGAGGATTCAGAGTTTGACTTTGTCTCGTAGTTCAGTTTTGTGGTGCCTACAAGGTGCATTCTGTCCATCCCGGTATCTTTCCTAGATTTCCTCCTCAACTAGCAGTTGTTTTGTTCTATTTTTGGTGGTATCTGGCCAGTGGGTCTGAAGTATCATAATTAAAAATGTACTTATCAATACTTGTCCATTCTCAATGATGGATGTGGTAGAACTTCAGGTTTCACCTCTCTAACACAGAACTGTCTAAACGTTGGTGTTGAATATTGAGTGACAGATCATTTGAATTCATGATATTCCTCAATGGTACGATTTCATCACATCGTTTTCGTGTCATTTTCGTGGAGTTTCGTTCTCTGAGCTCGATGGTCAATGAGCAATCAATAAACATATCGAAATCGGCCCAATTTATCAACCAATTATAAAAATAATGGACAAATGTAGGATCAAGAATCAAGTTAAAAGGGAGCGACAATTAATATATACAACGACAAGTTAAAGGTTAGCAACAACCAATTAAGCTGTTAGTCATATATGGAGACTTTTGAATACCTCAATCCTACATGAAGTTTGTGCTGATAATGTTGTTTAGAAGAACAATGCAAACTCCATAATTAAAAATATCCGGCTCAGAGAGTGTAACTCCATTAAAGTTATTTACCTGAGTTGCTACTCTTATCCATCATCTCAAAATGATTTGCTTTAATTTAATAATTCTGAATTATAAGAATTAAAATATACAATGTTAAATAAATGAATTTGATTAAAATTAACACCAGTACTCAACATTTTTACTATAAAACTGCTCTTTCGAACTATGCAAAAAGTTCAAATGTAAATACGTTATAGTAGTTCAATGACGGCTATTTAACAATATAAACCAAAGGTAGATGACAAATTAAAATCAGGAAAGGTCAAGGTGATGAAAATCTGAATTGTTAATTGATTGGTTGAATAGTTGTAGGTATAAACATTACCAATAAGTCACTTCATTTGAATTAAACTGATCTAATAGATGGTTTGACATTTTAATACATTGAGAATAAGCAAATAGTTTGTGAGCTATGAAAAAAAAAAACATTTGTCTCTGATAGTTAGGTAGTTTACACTGATTTCATCCAAAAAGCCAAACTAAGTGAACCGTAGTACCATGAACTCTAGTTAGTTCTCGAATTATCTACAAACTAAACATTCCATAAATTGTTATCAGTTGAGGGATTATTTTAAACTAACGAGAACTGGACATTTACAAGGTTGTGTTGAATTCGATTCATTGAACATCTTCCATAAAATATTACTAATTTCATTCACGTTATTACATTATTATTATTATTATTATCATTTTTAATCAGTTCTTATTCTCATTTATAATGGCATCCGTTTATCTACTCAGGGAAGAAGTTTCGTCATGTTTTAATATGTCGAATGTTTGACTTTATTATCCTATGCTTTTCCTTATTTCCTTAGAAACAAAGGAACTGAGACACAATAGAAATGATATCTGCTTGTTAACTTTTGGAAGTAACTCAAGGGTTTAATTGGGGTTGATTTTTCGGATGTAGTTTATAGGTAGATTACGTCATCGGTCCTACAGGTATAGAGCGAATTGATCAGTTATCGGACTAGACAATACAATACTGCTTCCACAATAATGACACTATCATACGAACCCCGATACGATTTTAGTATCTATTCTTTTTGAAGGTGCAACATTTACGAACATCCGCTATTATTAATTGTACTCTATGAATACCACACATTAAGAACATGCAATAATAACGAGCAAATCATTATTTTGCCGGATAATTATTTTATATTAATATGCAAACCGTTGCACAACTTCTTATAGTGATATCAATGAAAAGACAATTCTCGTCACTAAAGTATTTCTCTCATTTTTAAAATGAGGATTATGGATCTGATTCTAATAAAGGCATCTCTTCTAACTGTTTGTGTCCAAATATCAGTGTTAATACCGTGAGTGAACTCCTGTGGAACTGAGAATTTTACAGTTGATTAATAACCGACTCACTAGTGGCCAATGTCATACTTATCTTGATTTTAGCGCTGACTGAACTCTGCTGATCAGGTTTATTATTATTATATTTATTTTAACACATAGATATGGGTACAAGGAGGCACCAAATACATATGCGCCACACAAATCTCATTCGATATGTGTGAGGGCTGTGATACTGCCCGGGTGCCCAAACCGAAGCAGGTGGTTTTCTTAGGGGGCCACACCCCGAGCCTTCGACCTGAAGGTCTGATCCACAAAGCAGTGGAGCATCGTAAGGAGATGCAGTCCCATGGAAGCCGGTGACCAACAATTGGTTCATACGCCATTTGTTATCGCAGGATACTGGAGCCCATGTGGACCATTGGTTTGGAATCCGGTTAAAGCGCCGGACATTCGCTTTTCGTCCTCTCATTTTCGTAAACAACACCCCCGCCACGAGAAGGCAGTGAGTAGGACTTCCCTGGCAAAGGCTATATACGCGTGGCCATGTGAGAGCATTTTTAGAGGGAGAGAGGACTCTCCCCACTTTCGGCCGTACCAGGGCATTTGGGGGCGCTGATCAGGTTTGCAATGTTATCATTAATATTGGTGACTCGTTCTAACATATATGATAAATATCAGTATAGGGTTGCGGAAATTGTTGGGTTTCAATTGAGTTCATGAACCGATCAATGTTAGATCACCATTGAAAACCTGGAAGCACTGGACGACTTAGTGGTCTAGAGGTTAAGCCTTTGCGCAAGACTGAAGGTCTTGGGTTCAAGTCTCGCGTGCGGAAACGTGGATTCACACTGCGGAAGAGTTCGACACTAAAACGAAACGCCTGTTCAGTGCTCCCAGGTTTTCAGTGATAGTCTAACATTGATCGGTTCATAGACTCAATTGAATATCTGATAAGCTTGTCAGATAACATTCGAAGCTGTGTTTAAGTACTCATGCTTTTTAGTATTATATCAGATAGCTTGTTTTTCCCAGTTCACTATATCACTTTCTTTTGGCAATAAGATTTTATTATCATGATTTTTGTCGAATTAATAGATACGTACGTTTTTTGGTTTGTTTAAAGTTGTAGGACTGGTTACACAGGTGTTCGTTGTGATATGTTCAACTTACCACAAACATTGGATATACTGAAATCTTTTCGTGAAGAAAGTATTGATATCAATTCACTTCATCAGCCAACAGCATATATCTTGCATAATGTGATTGAAGCAACAGCGTAAGTTCATATTAAAATAGAATATATATGACAAATAAACTTAATAATGTTAGGAATGTAATGAAACTGTCAAGTTTACTTAAACCTTGGGATTAACAATACTGTAACACCAAGAAAACTTCGTTTAAACTGTTTGTACAATAAAGTAATTTTCATTAGTTTTGTAAACGTTTTCTCAGATGTGTTCTTGGAAATTATTTCCACATAATCCATGAACATCGAGTGAAGCTCTGAAGGCAGGTTTTCAACGGAATATTGTCTCTGGAGAAGATTCCTTTCCAATTCTCAGATATTCATTTTTAAAGTACCCTGATTGGTTTAACATTTTCGCATAAATATTCGTGTATATTAGAGTAAAGCCTGACGGCGATCTAATTGAAAACAATTGTTCACTTACATGTGTTGTTCTAATTTTCACAATGGGAATCTTTAATATTCTAAAATCGCGTGCGGACCCTGTTGCATTTAAGGCACTTAATGAGTTCCTGAAGTTTAATGCACGTCTCACAGAAGCGAAAACGACCTTAGGATTTGCTATAAATTGTATACAATCTAATAGATATCCTAAAATATATTGGAAGTCTTTGCGTCATAACAGAATCTATCCTAATGCAAAAACGCTTGAAAGACATGCGTCGAATCAAATTGATACTTTAAAAATGAATATCTGAGAATTGGAAAGGAATCTTCTCCAGAGACAATATTCCGTTGAAAACCTGCCTTCAGAGCTTCACTCAATGTTCATGGATTATGTGGAAATAATTTCCAAGAACACATCTGAGAAAACGTTGACAAAGCTAATGAAAACTTTGGAAAACCAAAAACCAGAAAAGAAATTTCCTTTCGACCCGAAACGGTAAATACAGTAATTATTAATGAAGGCAACTCGAGAAAAAGCATTAAGTTCATGATATAAATGTGGTTTGAATGCAAGTAAAAAATTGTACGAAAACAAGAAAATATCACGAACTTCCATTAGTGAGTCATTAAAGAATCAGATAGAACTGGATAGCTTTTCTATTTAGTACACAAATACTTGTACAACTGCGCACCGAAATAGACATACTCCATACAAACAAGGAAATAAAATTGTGAAGAGATAGAGGGAGGAGTGGAAGTGTTATAACTTGTGACCTGTGTGCCCTGTTAATGTATAACGTAATGAGACCGTCAATTAGAGAGCGGTGAATTATCGATCGGACCAACGACGCATAAAACCCATGCGAGCAGTCTAGAGTCCCTACTGGTCCTGCTTACTGCCTAGCCCATCCAGTTAAGTCCAGAACACAAATCTCAGCCTCTGAATACGGGGTTTATATAGCAATCAAACAGACCACATAGCACCATAAAATAGGAAACAAGATTTGTACAAGATTTAGCCCAAAGTGGTTGTGAATGAGGGAGATAGTAATTAATAGACAGGGCATAATTCAAGAATGGTAAATCTTATCTTAATAGTTCATAGGTCAAAATAAGGCTCATAATAAGAGGGACATGAATATGGCCAGTTTAGTTATTTAAAAACTACACGGTAAAAATATACGCATAGTATTGGTCCATAAATGGATCCTCATAGTTACCATTCATTATGCTTATCGGGACATAACAGGACATTGGAGAAAAGGGGTGAATTGCGAGTGGAAGCTTTACTCCAAGGTTAGTCTATGTACAGAAAAAAAAGAGCGTATTTATGGAGTTACACATGACCATGGGCTTTTGGAAATTTCCAGAATCATACTTAATATGGTAGCAGTATAGGCACATATTCAAGCAAAACCATGGAAAGTGATTCTGAAAAGCTTTTATTAAATCGTGATTTGATAAAACGTTTTCTGGCCCTCTAAAACCTTTGATAAGGGATATTTCGAGACTTCTTCAACGAAGAATATTACAGTACGATCGCAACTGGTTTCTATTTTGATTCGTGTTTGATAACGTTTTAAACAAGTGAGTTGCAGTGTCTCTCGGACTTTAACCAAGGATTCACAACAGACCGACAAATGCCAGTCCTGTACAGCTTCCATACTACAGGATCGTGAACTGACTTCTCCGCTTTTTTCAACCAGACCCAGGATTGACTGATAAGGTAATATGTGAAAGTTGCTGGGACGACTTTGGTAGCACGCCCAATGACATCAGTGATATTTACCTTAATGTTTATCCAGCTGAAATGTGTGCGATGAAGCTTATCTTCGAACTGAAAAATCACTTCACAAACATATCCAATTATTATCGAGATTTTTAGCTTGATTATTATTGGTTTTCATCGAAACTCAAAATTTAACCTTCAGAATATCGTCCAACAAAACAATCAAAACTCTCGAATTAAACTATTCACCTGGTATAGTATAGGATGAGTGCTTATATTTTTCTCCTTCAAAACATCATGGACATATTGTAATTAAATTCTAACTTTACTTAAAAAGTAGCAAGTTTAAAATAAGTCACAATATATGATCTAATTGCAGTGAACAAGAACACGAGTGGGGACAGTCAAATGTCAATGACACGAAATTACAGAGCATCTCAATAAAATCTGAGAACCATATAGTAAATCGTTAATTTGCAAAATATCAATCCATTATATCAAACTTGACTGTTCCTGTTGCAAACATCAATCCATTGTCTCATATTTCATTATTCATGCGTTTTCATACCTATTGCGTTCCGTTCCCGTTCTTTCCTCATCGACCTTCTACTGAAATACATTCTATGCCTGACCACTGTTATATACTACTTGTGTAGATATAAGTAACCCACATCACATAATGATTTAGAAAACAATCTATTCAGCGTAATAAGATTTCATAAAAGTTTACTACAGTTACATAAAGATGTAAGTTACAAGAAATACTACAGAACAAAAATAATTACGTGGATTTTAATTCCAGTTTTACTGAATAAATCAGCTGTAATAATGAGAGTAGATATTTTGATTAAATTAGATTCGAATTCCAATTAGTACGTGTTAGACAATTTAGGAATTTACCATGGCAATAAAATAAGTGAAAAAAGAAGAAGAAAAGTATTAGAAATACTAAAGTATTTTTACTATTAACATGGAAATTAAAATACTATTCGAGTTCAAATGATATATGAACAAGTGTAGTAATTTGTTGATTACATAAACACGCACAAATACCTGATAGTGATTTCAAAATTCGGTAAACTGAACAAATATTTCCTCCTAAACTAGAAAAAGAATGATTTATATAAGAGTACCGATAAATAATATTTAGCATTACGGATCCTCATTAATGTGATAATCGTTAATTATATATTCAACGTAAGGTCTTGGATAAATGAGTATTGAGATAAGTTGATATATCATGTCAACGCAGTGAGATATTAATGTTAAGATAGATACCTTACTTACTTATACTTTGTACTCTTCGATGAGGAGCATAGGCCACCCACTAACATTTTCAATTCAACTCTATCCTGAGCAATCCCTTCCAGTTGCTACTCATCCTTTTCATGTCTGCTTCCAATTTCCGACGCCATGTGTTCTTTGATTTCCCTCTTGTCCTTTTACCTTCAGGATTACAAGTTAGTGCATGGTTCGTGATGCAGTCTGATAATTTCCTTAGTTTATGTCCAATCCACTTTAAGAGTCTTTCCATAGTTCTCTCTTCAGATGGAAGTCGGTCTGTTCCCCCCCCCCCACAGTAGGTTGTTGCTGATGGTATCCGGTCGACGGACAATGAGTATCTTGTGTAGACAATTGTTTAGAAATGTTTATACTGCTTTGATGATGGTTGTGGTAGTTCTCCAAGTTTTAGTTCCGTAAGATGAATACCAAAGTAGTATAAAAGGAATCAAATGTAGTCATAGTAGTAGGGAAGATTAGACAGAGAATATGATTAGAGATAGGAAAATTAATTTACAGAGTAAAATAAGCATTTTAAGACAAAGAGTGAATGAATCTACGTTACTGTGATCGATTTTCAGCCAGGTCATCCAACATATTCAACCGTTGGTTAAGACAACCAAGTGAACCTCAAGCAGGAGGCAGTCTACATTTACTTACACGGATGAGTTCAACGGTCAATAACTACGTGAACTGATGTTACGTCATGGCTTAACCATCGGTAGTTTTTTCGAGTCTACTTCGATGCGCGATGATTGTTAGTGCTGGAAAAGGTTTGTATTTCTACAACCACATCTATAGTAAGAGTTTATTAAAACATTGGAAATTTTAAGGGTCAATGTAGGCTTGTGTAACGAACTTAAGGTTAACAACAAATGAAAAAAGATGAGAACAGTAAATGAAGCTATGATCCTCCACTTGGCTAGTATAAAGTAGATGAAGAAGAAATGGAAAACATGATGGTGGTAATGACAAAAATTGAAAAATAGAGACAAGATATGAACAACCAATTAATAAAGATGAAACATTCTGGATATTAGGTAGGGTGAAAAATTGAACGTGCTGCTTTTGTAAAGACCTCAGCTATGATCTGTGAAACTGATAAACCTTCTCCAGTACATAAGCTTTTGATTTGTGCTCCCTTTAAGGTTGATTGTCCTACTGTGTAGCTAGTCTGAAAAAATATTTATGTTTGCCCGCGTGATCAGCATTGATATGATGTTCCAGTGCTGAGCTGATGATATTTTTGTGCTCATCTATCAAGGTAAAGTTAACATTCAATGATTGTAAAGACTGATACCATATCTTGTTTGAGCTGCACACATGATTCTTTCAGCCTATTCCTACACTCATAAACACTGAGCATCGAAATAGGTAGTGACTGGACATACATAATACTTGTTTCAGTCATCTTAGTCTATGAAGACTCAACATGTTTAGCTAGTACCGTACGCCTGAACTTAACATAGCACACCTGGTTGTTCCAACGTAAGTGAGCAATGTTTTAAAGACTTACGTGATCGAATGCTGTTTAGAATAATACTGCTTTGATTGGATGATTCTCTCCATTTGTAAGTAGTATAGCTGAATTAACAATCTCTCTTTTTCTTCATACAGACGATATACGGTGAATGCTGTATTAGAAGAGCGTTTGTTGTCAACATGGGAAGACGATGGACCATTCTAGTGTGTGTGTTGACATAACGTCTGTACACACGCACATATGTATTTATGTAATGAATAACGATAATTATTATTATAACAAAACGGTAGCACAATTAATTGTAGATAACTTTTCGTTTATTCATGTCCCTTATTTACTATTTTATTTCGCATTTAAATTTTATAAAAAAACTTTACACTTGTCGAATACTTTGCAAAGAAAAACAAGCAAACAAAAGAACCAATCATAAGCCTAATTTTCATGAAACAAAAATCATTTTATTATAAGTCAATATTCACTTCGGAAGTAAAGGAATTTATTGTTTAGGGATGGGGAAAAGTTTCTGAATTTTAATTTAAAATGGAACATGAAAATATTGAACAAGCCCATTCGCGACTAGCTTCAAGATGTAATTCCTGGAGTTCTAGTGAGAAGCCGTGACCACTAGAGTTCAACTGTGTCGGGTGCGAGACGGTTATCCACCTCAGGCAGTGGATGAAGGGTAGCAAAAGATCATGGATTGATTGAACTCAGATACTAACACCTTCGAATGCCGGTTCAGTGGTCTAGAGATTAAGCGTTTGTACGAGACTGAAGTTTCCGGGTTCGAGTTCCGTGTGCAGGGTCGTGTATGAGCACTGTTGAGGAATACTGTACTAGAACAAAATGGCCGTTCAGTGCTCCCACATTTCAGTGATGGTCTAACCTGGATTGACTCGTGAATCCAACTGCAAGAATTCAATAAATGGTTAGCGATTGCCTGACTAGGATTAAATTAGATAAGATGTTGGATATGTTCAGTGACATTTAGACCATGAAAAGTGAATCGTTGATATTTAGAGTGGTCTTAGAGTGATAGTCAAATGTTTGTCGGTCTAAGTTTCCATACCATATCAACACGACGAGATGGAACGAACAAGATGAATAGCAAAGGAATCAAAATAATGTAGTAGTACCTTTAGCAGTGCTTGAAGTCACATCTGTTTACAAGGATGATAGTGAATTAGTGTTTACTCAATATAAATTCAAGACGAGAACGTTACAAAAGTGAAAAACGCGTTACTAATGTGTAGTAGTGGAAATAAATGTGATTGACCACTGCGTGTGGGCAATCAAGTGTTCAGCCTACTAACTATTAAATTTATGTGATTTCCTTTCCGCTCATCGATTTCTACTCCAGACTCACTGACAGTAACTGGCTGTAGTCTAGCGTTTACTCTTGTTCTCTTTTTGATCGTGAATTGCGTATCTAAAATAACGTGATCTAGTCTCTGTGAATAGTATCGTTTGAGTATCCGATCGAGCGGGAGTACAAACTCGGTCACCAGTCATTTGTGTAATATGTCAATATGTCATGGAAGAGAGAAATAGTTCCATTCGTCTGTTATATCAGTAATCACAAAAAAATAAGTGCAACCAAAACAACAACTCAATAGCCTTACGATTAGGGAATTCATTAAAATTTAGTAGATCTGAAAGCATCCAGGGATTACAAGGGTTGACGAGAAACCAAAGTAAAAAAATAAACAAAATAATTAAAATACAGCGAGTGCTCTGTTGTAGTAAAAAAACAGGCGACTAAATGAACATGACTGGTCAGGTCATTCATAAGAATTGGGAAAAGAAAACACCAATCACGGGATAGATCAAATATAATAGGAAGTAAGGAGCAAGAGTACTGGGAAAGTAAATATGTTGATTACAAAAGGGACAGAGGGAATAAAAAGTGAGGCAACTGACTTAAGCCTGTTACACCTCGTCAAGGAGGACAGGCCGCCCACCAGCATTCTCCATTCAATTCTGTAATGGACAATCCTTTTCAGTTACTATTCATCCTTTTGTTGTCTGCTTCCAGTTCTCGACACAGTGTGTTCTTCGGTCTTTCACTTTACTGTTACCCTTCAAGATTCCAAGTTAGCGCTCACGTCGTGATGCAGTTTGATGATTTTCCTAAAGTATTTCCTCTCCACCTCCAGAGCCTTTTCCTAATTTCCTCCTCAGAGAGAACCTGGTTTGACTTCCACCATAGTAGGTTGTTGCTGATGGTATCCGGTCGACGGACATTGAGTATCTCACGTAGACAATTGTTTATAAATACTCATACTGCTTTGATGATGGTTGTGGTAGTTCTCCACATTTCAGCTTCATACAGTAGAACTGTCTTGACATTCTTATTGAAGATTGTGACTTTGATGTTGGTTTGCAGACATTTGTTTTGAGTTCCATATGTTCTTCAACTGTAGATATGTTGTCCCTACTTTGCCCATCCTCGCCTTTTCGTCTGCATCAGATCCTCCCTATTCATCAATGATGCTACTCAGGTGCGTGAAAGTATCCACATTTTCTAGAGTTTCTCCATCAAGTGTAACTGGGTTGGTTGATGTTCTCTGTGCTATATATGAGGATATTGGTTTTTCCCTTGTGCATGTTGCTGTCTGTGCACGATCGATCAACACGGGATCTGACCTGTTGATCTTGAAGCTGGACGTCTAGTGAGTCCTTCATCCGGTTTAGCAACACTGTTGAAAACGTCTCCTGGTATCGATAGTAGTGTGACGCCTGTGTAGTACTTACATTTGCTGAGATCCTTTCTTTGTTATCTTGATGAGGTACCTTTCTTTCCAGATGTCTGTTATGGATGTTTGAACAAATGAGATGTCGTATATGTACATAAATTTAGCTAAGTGAAATGTTAGACATAGTTTAATAAACGTAAGAGACATGAGTCATAACCATATGCTAACTAATAAATCCCTATTAGGTAATTTGATTTTTCATTTTCGATAACTGAGAATATCTAACTTGTATGCGCGGTCCACTGAATCACGAAGTCACTAATATTTGCATATTGAGTATAGCACATGACCTAATACAAAAACATATTCACTTAGTAGTACCACTTGAATCAAGTTTTAGCTAACCAACAGTTCCAAAGTCTGCATTAGTCATTAGGTATTCAACCTCATAGAGACGATCCATATATTATTTTGTTTTGAGATAGTGAAGATTTGTAGCTCAGGTGGATGCTTTTGATAGAGTTTTGTTCTCTGAACGTGACTAAACCATTCAGCTCAGAGAACAAAACTCCATCAAAATTTTGTTCTACATCGATACGTCTGAACCATAAAATCAGAACGTTTAGCGCGAATGGCCCGTGACAGACACTTATCGATTGACTATTGGATGTTGGAAAATCAATTTTGTACGAGATACGCAATTTGAGAAAATGAAAATCGATCGGAGGAAGTATCTATTTGATGTTTCTAGATATTCATCAACAACTGTGACTTTAGGTGGGTGTATTTGATAAAGTTTGTAATGAATAAGGACTCAATTTCGTGGATTAGTTGAAGTTAGACATTAACACCGTTGGATGCCGACTCAGTGGTCTAGTAGTTAAGTGCTCGCGAGATCAGCAGGTCCTGGGTTCGAATCCCGCGAGGCGGGACCGTAGATGCGCACTACTGAGGAGCCCCACAGTAGGACGAAACGGCCGTTCAGTGCTTCCGGGTTTTCCATGGTGGTCTAGCTTCAACTGACTCATGATCTCAACAATTGAGAATAAGGACTCAATAACATTGACGAACATGTAGTGGCTAATTAGTGAATTTAATCGAATCATAAAAAGGTCGGCTAAGCTTTAATTTATGGACGAACCAATCAGGTATAAGATAAAGTCTCGGATTTTGGCGCGAAATTTACTTATCAATTTGATAAAATAGAGTTTTGGCATTATAGCCGATGTCAGTTCGTGATGAAAACCTTAAATATAATTCTTAACCTTAACCGTCAACTGTAAATCACAATTCGAAATCGTCGCAAGGTTTATAACCCTTATTTGATTCTATTTATTAAGTGGACACCATCAAGGTCAGTCCAGCGTCGCTCAAAGGCCGTCCACAAATTATAGTCTCACCAAAAGGTCGATCACATCATGAATTTGACTACAAAGAAGAGTTACATGGTTTCAAGCTTTTAGATCCCATTCATGATAATAAGTATCACATTCTGTAGGTTACTGACAGAGTTTCCCATTTACACAACCTCAATTAGAGTTTGTAAAATATCATATGACTCGGAGGTGACCTACAAATTGTCATGCCTAAGAATAAAATATTTATAACCTCTGAGAGAAATCGAAGTAACATTTTAGGATAGTATATATAGTAAGTTTTTTTTTTCAAAAAAATATTTCGAATCGTTATTGCATAATTAATTGGATGAAACTATATGTACGAAAAATATAAAAAAATCTACTATAAAGATAATTAAACATAGTTGTTAATGAAAGCTCAACTTAGAATTTCCTGAAGAGTAATTATTACAAAATATTTTAAAGAATGAACAAACATGGAGATGAGTTCTCTCTGAAATTTCATACTCATTAATACTACTTAAAAGTAGTTTGAAAAATGTAAACAAAATATTGGGAGGTTAAATGTAGAGTTGGACAGAAAGACTAAAATTATTGTAACATTGTTAAATTAATGAAAAGCAATAATACGAATTTTTATCGAGCATTTATTTTCGGAGGATAACTAGAATACAGAATAGATGATACGATAACAGTTAATGTGCCAAAAATGAAACTATTACTCAAATGCATCCCAAGGAATACAACAGAGAATGCACATGATAAAATAATTGACACGCAACAGGCGAATGCCTACAAGAAAGAAACAAGAGAAATGACACATGAAGGTAGATAATAATGAAGTAGAATTATTGATTAACGTAACTAATCATAAAGACAAAAAATATAAATATTAACCATATCGTAGATAAAAAACTGTAGTGAGGTTTACAAGCTTGTATATCGTAACGGCTAGATAGAGATACATCAAATAGATATTCAAGTTTTTGGTCATAAGCTAGTGTAGTTATGAGTCTGCACCAGTGAAGAGTTCCACACTAGTTCAAAGCAAATGTTATATGGTCCCTAGTTCTAATGGTGGTCTCCACGTGATGGTAATTTGTGACTGAAACTAATTCATATGATTAACACTAAATCAATATGTGTAAATCAACTACTCAGAACTTGTATTTTTTCGTCAAATCGGAAGAGAATAGTTACTGGTTAAAACTTAAGGAAGTAGAGTGTCAGGAAACGAAGAAGGAAGAACAGGAAAAATAAATATCACTAAAGTAATAGAATGGTTAGATTTAAAAAATAACATGAACTGTTACATTCAGTAAGATTCGGGACCAGGTATCCGGAATTAGGAATATTTACAACTGCTTACATATTGTTCACATGAAAGATCACTAGACTGGTTTAATACAACTGGGAAGTTCAGTGTTATATTTTAATAAATATGAGTTAATTAGAAATCTTATTATGGTGGAATGGAATTGAATGATAGAATGTCGAAATGACTTCGGCAGTAGTATAAGTAATTTGCCTATCGAACTGAATCTCAAACGCCCAACAAAGTAACGCTTAGAAGACAAAGCCGCTGGTTAACTGACTATATAACATTAATGAGGATTGAAACTTTTGTTAATGTATAAGGTATGCTCAAACCATGATAATTAATTTGACTATAAGTAACCTGTTAGATAGCAAATGAACAAGGTGCATCCACCATCTGCGTACAGGGATTGAACCAAAGACCTACAATCTCACATGCGAACGCCTAACCTCCAGACCATTGAGCCGGCGTTCAACGTCATTAACGTCCAACTTCAAGCAATCCATCGTTTTGCGCAACGCTTTATCCATTGCCTGAGGGGATCAATCGTCTCATACTCGACAGAGTTGAACTCTATTGATTACGGCTTTTCACTAGAACTACAGGAGTTACATCTTCAAGCTAGTCGCTAGTGAGTACATGATTGTTATTAGTATGAGGATTTGTGTAGATTGAGGTACTTTCACAGTTAAAATCACGAACTGATCTTAGCTAGACTACCACTCAGAACCTAGAAGCGCTAGATGACCGTTTCTTCCTACTGTAGGACTGTTCAGCAGTTTGCATCTACAACTACGTGCGCAGGAGTCGAACCTAGGGTCTTTGGTTTCGGTCTGAGTTGTGTTAGTTCCGTACTTCTAAGGCCTTAAGCCCGGAGACGGAAATCAGTAGGATGGGGTGTGTGCGATCTTTCGACCTAATCCTTTCTAAACTCATCCTGTTTTTGGAAGGCAGCATCGCAGGAGATGCCGGTTGTCTGGAAAAAACACCTTACTACCATCACAAACCTATACGGTTGGTAGTATAACTTTGCTGTCGGACAATGGTTTTGGCACCCTTATTTTTATTACTCTTCACTCAAATCGTCTGGGATGGTGTGGATTAAGGAAATGAATGTTTCGGGCAATATAGACTGGTTAGGTCGTTATGATAAGCAAACCCAAACGCCACATGAAGATAGCGGCTACGTTCGGGAATCAAATAACAACTAAGTAAATCAAAGTCACAAGCTAATTAAAGAGGTTTTAATTTTTGTTGTTTAATACCCACACTAAATCTGAGAAATATATAGTTATAAGACTAGCAACTAATTAAAAAGTCACCCCTACAAGTATTTATTTCACTGTTGTTTTTATGAATAACCTTTGCTTTGACCAGTAAAAAAACATGTTTTCAAGTTGTCATTGGATTGGTTACAGTAGTGTGATATTTCACAGCTTGCTACATCGTTAGTATAAGCAAACACAAAAGTCTTATTCCAGTATTTTTAAGGTATACAAGAAACGGGTTATGGGAATTATATATATATATATATATATATATATATATATATATATATATATATATATATATATATATATGATTATAGTTCAAATTTCGGGATATATAGCGTTGCACAACACTTTCTCTCATGATACTGTTTATGCTTCCTGCTAGTCCATCTTCGTGATAAGAAAGAATGTCAACTATGCGGTATGAGCTCCTTTTTGACTGTCAATCAGTCATAACGTAGAACCTCTACATGTGTACATCGGTTCAAGTTGTCATACCCCATTAGCACATCGATATAAAGTTATCAGGTCAAATCCCAGAATAGAAGAGGTAGTGACAGCATCAGTTGTAATAAGAAATATTAGGCACAGAAGATACGACTAGGAAAGGAAATATAAATTAGCGGAACAAAAAAGGAATTTAGAATCCCAGGATTTGGGAGAAAACAAAGGATGGTTTCACAAGCGCTACTGCAAACGATTTGAGCCATGTCATTCAAAGTCTCTAACCACTGGTTACGACAATCACACGAACCTCAACCAAGTAGTCTGTATCAATTAACATGGATAAGTCCAATTGTCAGTGACTTCATGGACTGATGCCATTTTTTGGTTTGACCGCCCCATATTTTCTTCCAACCTGCTCCTGAACCAGAAAACATCGCCTGTCAAGGTAGACGGTGGTTGGGCATACGTAACACATGTCCCAACCACCTCAGTTGAGGAAAATTTACTGCTTCACCAATCCTTGCCTGGTACTCTATTCCTAACCTAGCCAATGTTTACCTCGTGGTCCCAAAATACACGAGAGTTTGTCGTTAGTTCCGTTTCTAAGATGACTAAAATCATATCCAAAGTAAAACCCGTTATATGTTTACATAGATTTACGCCAATAAAGTTCATCGTTGTAGTTGTTAAATCCACAAAATTTACTTCACAAGGTTGCTTTTACGTTGTCATAATCGAACAAAAATTTCGTTTCGAATAAACTAACCAGATTGGAATGTGTCAGTCCAGTTAAATATCATTCAAAGAGAGATAACAGTTACCATGTTTACATTCAAACTCTTTTCATGATCATCGAGTCAGATTAAACCCTGTCTACAGTTAAAGTTCAAAATTATAAATAAATGTCTAGATTCAAGTAAAAACTATACTTGTTTACTGCTCATTTTTTTCGTTTACTTAATAATATCCAGTTTAACAGGGTAAAACTTTGTGTTATATAAACAAGCAACTAATTATCGTTTCAATGTGAAAAAAAAGAAAATACAAAATTTACTTACTTTAAGAATATTGTTAGCATATTTAACTACTAAAGCTACTAATAAACCCCCGAATGCATGTAGAAATACAACTATCCAAACAAACCAATCAAAACCATGAAAATAGCCATTTTGTGTAATATCAGTCCAATCGGTCAATAGTTGTACAGGTATACCAATGATAATTGATGCAAAAGCTAACTCAATATTACGATGCCATATAGATTTGTTGGTATTTTTCAGAAGCTTAATTATGAAAGAAGATAATTGAAAAATCAACAAAGATGATACAAAAAGTATATGATGAGTATATATGTATGAGCGCTAATACCATTAAGATGCTTAAAGATATGGTTGAGAGGATTGATGTTAGGCCGTTGCAAGTATTCTTTGTTTGGTTAGATGTATCTACAATTTCGAGAAAAATGACGCGTCCAGTGAAGTTGATTGCAGATACACCTTGTTGACAAGTAAAAACTAGTATAAAACCTAGATTAAGGAATTTGTTGCTGATTCTCTTCAACCATTAACCTGGATTAAGACATATTGCATGAGATGTCAAGCTACCAGAGATTTTAACGATTTAAATAAGCTCTTTATGATAGCTGTAATCACCCCGTAAGAAGATGTATTTCCATGCATCTCGTATATGATACCCTTGAAATCGTTGACTAAATAGTGGGTATGAATGTAAATGACAATTCATGATTTCCCTTGATGTTGAGTCACTGTTCAATAATGTCCGACTTACACAGATTACTTGTTTTGCATACAAAAACACACAGATGATAATATGAATGGGTGTGTTTACTACAAGGATACGCAGAACCTTTATTCTCAACCGATAGGTAATAAATACTGATTTTAAGAAGTAAAAGAATGAAATTATGCACAAAACTTTGTCGATTAGGTAAAACAAGTTATCTGTTGTTAGTAGATTTTGTATCAGTTCACTGCATATAAACATGTAGTTGTCTATATAATAGTATTTTTGACGTTTAGCTTAACTGGTGTCAGTGTTACACTTATCGATGAACTTACGGGATTTCGCTTGGTTGGATCACTGTTTATTATTATTTTTTCTTTAAGGCTGTGAAGGTTACCTAAGGTAAGAAATCTCTTCATATTATGTAACTCATTTCAGTCAGTCAGCCAGCTACAACGTAGGACTAGACACATATATGCATCGGTCCAAGTTGTCACCTCATAAACACAACAACATGAACACCAAATTCATAAAACCAGTTACTTCAATGGTAATAATATATAAAAGGAGATTGCATATGAGGATATAATACAGGAAGAAAGAATTACTTCGTAGAAAGAAAGGTATGAAGTAATTTTAATCTTACGGCTTAAGGGAACACAAAGAGTGTATACGCCTACGCCATTGTGATCGATTCTGAGCCATGTTACCCAGAGTCTTCAACCATTGGTTACGATAGTTACGTGGACCCCAAACAAACAGTCTGCATTTACCAACATGGTTCATACCAGAAGTTAATGACTTTATGGATTGGTTCCACGTTTTGGTTTGGCCACTCCTAACCTTCTTCCAACCGTCTCCAACACTAGTCAGCATTGCGCGTCGTGATGGTCGGGCGTGTGTAATACGCGATCTAACCATATCAGTTGATGTGGATTCAAAACTTCATCAACTGATTTATTATCATTCTTTAATACCTTGCGTCTACCTCACTATTACTTACCCGATGATCCCAAAAGATTCATGCAGAAATGTCATCAGACACCATTTACTAAATAATGATTTACTCACTCACTTTGAGCACACTATTTGTATGTGCGGGATAATGATGCTTACGTATCTGTCCATATAAAAGTGGGGCGGGGTTCGAACAGGTGAATTACTGGCTAAAAACCGATTATCTTAACCTCTGAGCCACTATCCTCATTCATATTGGAAGGAAATATCAATAATGAGTGTATGTACAGCACTTTCTACTCAAAAAATATGTATTTAAGTTTCAATAACGCTTTCATGTACGGATTATCTATCCCACATTTCTGCTGTTCGCAGAAATATCACCCCGAAATGTTGGACGCCAGTAAGTAGGTTCTGCTTATTATTGAAACAGAAAATTGAATCAAGTTATATTTAAAACTTACTCTCGATACATTAGAATTTGCGGACAATAATTAGTCGTATTGAGATTTTGCCACAAGAACAAATGTGGTTGAAAGTAAAATCAACATTGCCCCCTCTCATACTATTCAGTTACTAAGGTTGTATTTCTCTGTAGGACACACTTTTGCAACTTTTTGACATTAATTAGTTGTAATCTTACAAGGTTCATATACAAAAACTTTGGAATATACTTGAATGTGATTAAGAGTTCTATTCTCGCTCAGCTGGTGGTTAACACAGGATATGTCAAGTTGACTTAAATAAAGTTTTTGAAGCTATCCATTTTATCACATCAAATTTACGAGGTGGTTTACGGGTTTGTCTTTTGCATACTTCTGAACCCATATTCAAAAGCCTGACCTTTGTACTTGAAAGAATTTCGTACAATCCCTCTCTCTATCTTGATCATCGACATAAATCATAGAATAGTAAATCATAGTAGAACATTGATCCATTCCTCTTTTTCTAAATTTGTTTTAAACTTATTTCATCTTTGTATTATTACACAATCTTAATATTTATCTCTTTATTTTTGCATAACTATTATTAATTTGACTTTTTCTTAAGATATTTGTTAAATTCCCTATGAAATATTGTGTAATTTGACAACTATTGAACTAAAACATGGATATATGAACGGAGAATACTCTTTTTCAATAAATTTAATGAGTTCTAGTTATATATCTAAATCATTATCCAAAAGGTGGCCAGGTTTAAGGTAAATACATTGTTTAAAATTACAGCATTTAAATTTAGGATTGTTTGCAAAATAAGACGTAAATTGTTAATATTGACATGTTATCAGTATAGGGATTTGTGGAACTTGTAGTATTTTCATAGTTGAAATCACGAGTTGACCCAAGATAGACCACCATTGGAAACCTGAAAGCACTGGATGGTTGTTTCGTCTGAGTATGAGACTCCTCAGCATTGAAATGACTAATACGCAATGTTTTCAATTTTCACAAATAATTAACTTATCCTCTCGATCTTGTAAGCAGCCATCACGGTTAACTGCATTATATCATGTTACAAACAACTGATTTTTTTAGCAATCAAAACATTTAATTAATAACAGGGTCTACAAGGTTATAATGGTTAATGGATACAGACTTAAGACCGTAATTTAACTCGAAATCTATGGATATATTCATTATCTATTAACATTTATTAGTTGCATAGAGAATAACAGTGTAACTAATTAACCCACCATAGACCTATGTAGTCCACCTCGAGCCAGACCCTACATTGACAATGACCAAAGAGTTAATGATAATATCTAACTGCCCAAACCATAATGTGACTTAAGCCGGTGACCCACTAGTCAAAATAAATTATTGAACAGCCAAACCATTGTTGAACATTAGTTCCATATAATTTCATCCTATGTGGTCAACCACATCGAAGTAGATTAATTGGAGTGCAAGTACATGACATGATTTATATGATATATCGGATCATTGAGGGAATGTGATAGATTGCAAATAACATGTGATTTGTTAGCTTATCAAAAGATAAAAGGATTGCATTTATATACGAAATTATGACATAATGGAAGTTCATTAAGTTACAGAAACCAGATATCTGTTATATAGGGAAAAATCACTCTACATTAAACTACGACAATAAAGTTGGAAAATGGTTGGTTTATTCTCTTCTCACAAGCTTTAATGCAATAACTATAACCCAATATATAACATAGCGATTTATAAATATTTAATATTTTAATCACTCTCTAATTTACAAAATAACTGAAATGATATAAATAGTCTCTAGATAGAATAACTTACCATTTCAAAAAATACACATGCCAAACCAGACAATATGGATGCCCATACAGCACAAAATAATCCTAATGGAGGATTATATGCTATAGGTGGGTGATTAGTTTTATTAGAATTAACGGGACTTTCAACTGTTGCAACTCCAATAAACAATAAAACCAAAGCAAACCATTGCATTTTACTAACCGGTTTCCGAAGAATAAACATACTGAATAATGCTGTAGTAAACAATTTCAACTGATAAGCCACCTAAACTAATAAATATTCTATTACGAAATATTATTAATCTTACCTGAAATGTGACTGCATCTAAATTACTCAAAGCTGTTATAAGAAGACGATTTTGAATGACATATATTATAGCAGGTATAAAAGTCATTAAAACATCTAGTGGATTGTGTTGTATGAGTTTTAAACAGTTTTTTAAATTCCCAGTAATGCTTAGAACTGATACACATGTCAAGAATTTCAAACATTCGCTCATTATTACCAAAGATGAAGAGTTGAACATTTCGGTTGGTCGTGATCTTGCATGACGCATACACAGAATATAAAGTAGATTTTGAAATACCAGAATGAATAAGCTTAAATATTTCATTGTAACCATCCGCAACATTGCACTTTTCAGAGTATGCTCCTAAAAACCTAAAATACATATAAATAAACAGGCAAACAACCATCGTACATGAATTGAAGTTTCCACAAAAGAGGTTACATATCTAAGGTACGGAAATTCTGTATTTTTATTTATTTATTTTAACACATAGATATTGGTACAAGGAGGCACCAAATATATGTGCGCCACACAAATCCCATTCGATATGTGTGAGGGCTGTGGTACTGCCCAGGTGCCCAAACTGAAGTAGGTGGTTTTCTTAGGAGGCCACACCCGGAGCCTTCGACTTGAAGGTCTGATTCACAAGGCAGTGGAGCGACGTCAGGAGATGCAGTCCCATGGTAGCTGGTGATCAACGGTTGGTTCATGCGCCATTTGTTCCTTCAGGATACTGGAGCCCATGTGCACCATTGGTTTGGGATCAGGGTTTTCCAATTCCCCTAGGTGGACTCTCCATGTTCACCAACCCGGTTAAAGCGCCGGACATCCTCTTTTCGTCCTCTCAATTTTGTGAACAACACCCCCGCCACGAGAAGGCAATAAGTAGGACTTTCCTGACAGAGGCTATATACGCGTGACCATGTGAGAGCACTTCGAGTGGGAGAGCTGACTCTCCCCACTCTCGACCGTACCAGGGAATTTGGGGGGCAAATGAAAGAAAATTTGGGCCTTTGGTAAATTCGTCAATTTATTACTTATTTATTTAAACATAAATATTGATACAAAGGGGCATCAAATACATATGCGCCACACAATTACAACGAGAATGTAAGGTGCGTATGAGAAAAAGGGGGACAATAACAAATAGGAAGTAGTGTATGATAGTGAGATAATAATAATGGAAGAGGTAGTTCAAGTAGCAAAGGTACAACCAGAAAGAATTTTTCCAGTTAAAGAAGTTACATCCATTTTTATGGCCTCTATTCTGAGCCATATCTGATAACGTTTCTAGCCACTGTGTTGCACAATCTCTAGGACCCCAACCAGAGAGTCGTGAAGGACCAACAGAACCCAATCATGTACAGCTTTCTTTCATACCACGACACATGTCATAACTGATCACCTCTCCGCCTTTTCCAACCAGTTCCAGCGTCAGAAAATAATACACGACGTGGAAATCTCTTGGACGAAATTTGCAGAACATGTCCAAGCCACCGAAGTCGGTGTTTCAAGATGGTGACACCAATTGAATTATCATCTCTGCACCCGAACACACGATGCCGAGCCTCTGCATTACTGACATGGTGTTGCCACTGAATGTCAGCAATCCTTCGGAGACAGCGATGATCGAACACAGAGAGTCGTCTAACATCCTCAACTCGGAGAGGCCAGGTTTCACAAGCATAGAGCAAAACTGCTCTCACCGACGCGTTGTAGATCCGGCCTTTTACAGCCAGACTAACATCACGAAGGCGCCAAAGGTGGCCCAGATTGGTATAAGTCGCTCTGGCTTTCACTATTCGTGCATTGATCTCATCACTCACACCCCCACCAGCACTTATGCAGCTACCCAGATACACGAACTTCTCGACTACGTCTATCTGCTCACCTTCCAGGGTGAGTACAGGATTGGAATCCTGCCAGTCTTGTAGAAGTACTTTGCACTTCGAAGGTGCAAAGCACATACCATACCTACGGACACTGATTAGGTGCGGATTGCATGCCTTGGGCATTATCGCACAGTAAGACAATATCGTCCGCATACTCAAGGTCGAGAAGTCTTTCTCCAGGCAACAGATCCATACCACCATTACTTACATTCATCAGAGCTGTTTCTAGAATGCCATCGATGGCAAAGTTGAAGAGGAATGGTGAGATTGGGCAACCCTGCCTAACCCCACTGTTTGAATGAAACAATGGGGTAAGGTGGTTGTATGCCCTCACTCTGCCTGAGGTGTTTGTATATAGGGCTTTTAGGATGTTAATAAACTTCTCAGGCACACCCTTCTTCAATAGACAATCCCCGAGAGCAGTCTTGTCCAACGAATGGAAGGCAGTCATGATGTCAAGAAACACTACGATTGTCGGCCTGTGATAAGTATGACGGTGTTCTAACATTTTGGCGAAGGGTGAAGATACAGTAACAACATCCTCGGGTTTTGAACAATCTACGATGTATGACGGAAGCCAATAGTTCGGACGCAATCGGAAGTAGACTTATCCCCCGATAATTGTCACGTAAACGATGTGAACTCTTTTTAATGATAGGAACAATTACCGACCCATTACACGATGTTAGGACAGACCTTTGTGAACAACTCGGTCAGTTCCTTAACCAGAAAGTCATCACCATCCTTAAAAAGGACCGGAAGCCAGTCATCTGGGCCCGGCGATTTGTAGCGCATCAAGAGTAGGAGTTTGTGCAGAGATATCAAATCAAAACGGCATAAGAAGCAACTAGAATAGGCCGAAAGAAGTGATAATTGTTGTCTTTTTGTATATCTTTTGGCGCTACCAGTATTCGATGATAAGCTCTGGCTAAATTGTCCTGCTTCGATTTGGGCATCCAGGCGAAAGTCCAGCCTTCACACAAGTCTAATGACGAAGTGTAGCGTATATATATTTCGTAATTCGTTGTACCAATGTTTGTGTTTAAATAAATAATATATGTAATAATCTGGCTAAATTAACTTTGGAAAATAACTTTCCGTGGAGGTGAAGAGCAAAACCAAGAATCTTCGGGAACAGGAACTTATCTGGTACTGTAAAGTCTCTTCGATTTCAATGTGCTGGTGACCATGGTCACAACAAGGACGCCAATCCCTATATTTTTAATTACCATATGCGATATAAGTAATACAAATTGAACTACATAAGGTATTTTTTCAAGATTATAAGAATCATTAAATCTTACATGTCATGCGGAATATATATCCATGAGGATCTCAGCCTGATTGGTCGCATTAAGAAATGATCAGAAGAAGTATAAACAAATGAACGCCACCGGAACGGTGGACAACCTTATAGCGTTCATGCTTGACTAACTTGCTTATTGCGAGAGAGGATTGGACAGCAGCCCTAGATAACGGTCTGTCTGTCGATGTGATATTCATAGATTTTAGCAAAGCATTCGACAAGGTTTCACACGTAGGTCTTATGCACAAGCTCACAAGCTTCGGAATAATAGGTACTGTACATGAGTGGATAGGAAACTTATGTGACCGCAGACAGAGAGTGAGGGTCAACGGAACGCTATCCAATTGGAAGCCGGTCAAAAGTGGTGTGCCCCAAGGCACCATCTTAGGCCCTCTGCTCTTCTTTCTCTACGTTAATGAGTTACCGCTGTTGCTTAGGTCGTCGACATTATTGTTTGCAGATGATGTAAAAATCTGGAGAACAATAAAAAGTGCGGCTGATCATCTGGATCTTCAAGCTGACCTAGATGATTTAGTTAGATGGGCTCGAGAGTGGGGCTTAGAAATCAATGCTAGGAAGAGTGTGTTAATGCACATCGGTCACGGTAATAGTTACCGTTGCACTATTGAGGGTAAACCTCTTCCATGTGCTCAAGAACATAAAGACTTGGGAGTAGTATTAAGTCATGATTTAAAAACAACTACGCATTGCAAAGCAGTCGCTGTCAAAGGTTTTCGTGCATTATGTTCACTTCACCGAGCGTTCAAATTTGTTGACGAGGAAACGTTCCGAATTTTATATCCCATATATGTTAGACCACATTTAGAGTACTGTATCCAAGCAGCTAGCCCGTGTCTGGTAAAGGATATTAACTCCCTTGAGCGTATCCAGCGTGTGAGAACGAAATTAGTGAAGGGTTTTTCTAGACTCCCTTACGATGAGCGTTTAAAACGCCTAAATCTTTTCCCCTTGTCGTATCGTAGGACACGAGGTGACCTTATACTGGCATTTCGTATCTTTAATTATGATTTGGGTGTTAATGTCTTATCTTTTTGCTCCCTCCAGCACTAATAATCTCTGAGGTCATAGCAAGAAGGTTCATAAACCACGACCTAATAAACTTAAAGTGGGGTCCCGTTTTTCTCACCGAGTAGTCAATGATTGGAACGCCTTACCCGAACAAGTGGTATCAGCCCCATCAGTGAATACTTTCAAGGAAAAGCTGGACCTTCACTGGAAAGCAATGTGTCAGGATTAATACAGGTTCACCAACCTACTATCCCTATTACTGAAGACTGAAGGTTTATGGGTTTTCACATTGTGAATGTTCAGAGCTAAACGATCCTCAAACCACTCTGAGTGGTGTGGGAAAATTCTTCACAGAATTGTTGTGCTATACAAATGCTCGCAGCCTACTAGATAAAATGGCGGGGCTTGAAAACGTGGTAACACAGAAAACATGGATGTCATTGCCATCTCAGAAATAGTTAACGTCAGAAGTGTATGATAGTGATATTCGATTGCTTGGTTTCTTACTTAATAGGGCTGACAGACTAAACTGTAGGGGTGGTGGGGTTGTCCCGTACACGAAAAGCACCTTAACCATAAGGGCTGTCGAGACAGTGGCAAACGACGCAGGGACATGGACTGGTGAGTTGTAGCCTAAAAGGTAAACGGCGAGACATGCAATTATTTGTAGTATACCGCGGTCCAGAATGCGTAGGAGTACATGAGCCAAAATTGAGTAGAGTACCCATGGAGTACAGGATTTTACATCGAGCCATCTATTGAAACCTGTTATCCGATAAAAAGTGGTGCTCGCCCTTTCTAGTGATTCACTCAAGAAAATGATAGACATACAGAAGCTTACTAGAAAAAGACTAACAGGCGGTGGGCCTTCAGTGCACAATATACAAATCTGAATCGGAACATTAATATACATCCTACGATTTTAACAGAGGACTCAAGCTCCCAACTTTGGAGCAAGCTTGATCAAATATGGGTAAATTTTAAGAAACGTTTCATTGAAAATTACACCCACGTTAGGTCCTCGAGACCTGATTCTGAGATGGTGGAGAAAATTCGTAGCTCGGGTGGATGATATTGATGGAGTTTTTTTCTCTTCACGACCAAAACATCCAACT